GTGCATGGGCGGGACTTGGTTGGAGGAGCATGGTGGGCGGGGCACAGTGGGAGGAGCATGGTGGGCGGGGCACAGTGGGAGGAGCATGGTGGGCAGGGCACAGTGGGAGGAGCATGGTGGGCAGGGCTTGGTGGGAAGAGCACATGGGCGGGACATGGTAGGAGGAGCCTGGTGCAGACCTCTTCCCACGCTTGAATGCACTTCCCTCTCCCCAGGCCGTTTAATTGGCGTGGTCTGTTTTCCTGTTGACACTTACAATGGTGCCCGGGGCCCGGTGCTCAAGAGTCACCGTAAGGCAAGCGCTGTCCCTGCCTCCTATGACATTCAGGTTGTGTGGCCCTGGAGGAAGCCAGCCCCTGCTCCCGGCTTTCGGGCCTGCAGTCCTCATCGCCACCCAGTCCCCTGCCCCTGAGGACTGTGTCCTCGCTCACTTGCATCCCCCTAGTTCCCCCTTGGGCCAGCACGACCCAGGACCTGGTTCTGTTCTGCCCTCTTGTACCCTCGAGACAGCTGTGAGACAGCTGTGCCTGCACCAAAGCAATACGTGGAAACACTTCAATACAAGACCGGAAACTCCCTGCTTTTCAACACTAGGACAGTCCCTGTCGCAGAGTAGACACTCAAAAATATTGGCCGAGTGAATAAATGCGTAAGAATAAATGATTAACCACTGCCCCCAGATTGAGATGCATCGCGGTTTTAACGCTTTGAGAGGAACTTAACCCTTCTCCACTTGGAACTGTGCTGAGTCGGGGGGGGTGGGGGGAGGAGCAGAGGTTATGAGTCCCGGGCACTCAATCTCTGCCACTTAAGTTATCACGACCCTGGGCGTCTCACGCACTAGTAACCCCTCTGGGCCACGGCTTCCTAAGAGAGAAGAGAGAGGGTTGCCTGATGATGGAATAAAAAGAGGCTTGCTCATGACTTAACAACAGCTCTTCCAGAGAACATGCTAAGGAAGAGAACACTCAAAGCGTATTTCTCTTTTGCTCCCTGCAGCTGCACGGGGCCGGGTCTTAAAGGATGCACGAGCGAGTAAGTATGACCGCGTTGTCTAATGGGCAGGGACAGTGCCCGCCGCATTGCTGGCTCCCTCTACCTGGCCAGGTTCTTCCCTCTGGGCAGCACCTGCTGGTCCCCCGACCCACCATCTCCGGGTCTGGTGGGGTGCTGCCGTGAGGGGTGCAGGAACTGCGTGCTCGATGCCCACACTCCTTCCTCTGTCTTTCCTCTGTCCGACTTCTTTGGTCACACCTGTGTGGTTGGACCCTTCCCTTCTCCTAGCTTCTCTGCCTCCCTCCCTGGCCTGTGGCCCTGCCACAGACCTGTGCCCCAATGACCTTTCTGCTCGGCGACAAAGCTCCAACGTGAGGTTTCTCCCTGATCTTTCTCAGGCCACCTCCTCAGCATTTCAGTTCTGGTCACTTTGCCGTCGTTGCTGAAATGCGGCCCTGGGACCAGCAGAGCTGGGCTTCCTGTTTGGACTCAGCAGGGAAGAGTGGGGTTATCTATGAGTAAAGTCTAGAAAGGAATCAGATTTATACAGATATCTGTCGAACGTCAAGGAGAGAGAAACATCCATCGCTGCCTCCTGCATGCCACCTATGGGGATCAAACCTGACGCCCAGGCAAGTGTCCTGACCAGGAATTGAACCTGCAACCTTTTCGGTGCATGGGATGACACCCAACCAACTGAGCCCCACCAGCCACAGTGAATCTTAGACTTTTTATTGAAAATGTTCCTTTGTTTTGGAACAGATCGACGGAATCCCTCTCAGTGCCACGGACGCTTCCCCCAAGAATCAGCCGTGGTCACGGAGCCTTCCGGCTCTCCGGGGAACGTCAGGGCACACAGGAGGCCGCTGCAGGGAGAAAGGTTTCTTCAGCCCTCCCTCTTCCCGGGCCGGGCACAGCCAGCTCCTGCTGCTCCTCCACAGTCATCGCCTCCACTGAGGTCCCTCTCGCCCACAGACACCCGTCCAGCACCTATCTTTGTTGTGTTCACTCTTTTAAGTTTTGCCATTCCCTTGCCATTCACTCACCCTCATTATGCCTCAACGTGGAACACATCTTCTGTAGGAACAGATTCGTTCCTGTACCTCTCTTACGTTCCCTCCAAAACCGTGGAAACCCATGAGCTCCAGCGGCAGTGGTGGGCAGATGGTCGGACGCGGGGGATGGCTCGTGTACTCTAAGCAGAACATGTTGTAACTGTCACTTTCACGAAGTGCATGTGACCCACTAACGAGAAATTCGTAAGGACGACGTCCCATTATTGTACATCCAAATGCCGCCGCTGGTTGATCTTCGCTGTTTGTTTACATTTCTACCTGGAGCGATGAAGTCTGCCGGAAGCTGAAATGGCATCAATACTTAAGAATAACAACTTTATATTCAAATTCAGAATCTTCTGCTTCAGACGGCTCTCTGCCCAGGGAGCTTTAGATTTTGAGTTTGAGTTTCGCGCTCCCTGGAATCAGGCACAACCTCACCTGGGGGATCGAGGCTGCAAGGAGACACCCCTGGTCTGGGACAGGGGTGCTCTCTGTGAGGTCCCCTCATTGCACAGCACCACCCCCCCCCCGAGCAGTACTTAAGAATAACAACTTTATATTCAAATTCGGAATCTTCTGCTTCAGCCAGCTCTCTGCCCAGGGAGCTTTAGAGTTTGAGTTTGAGTTTCGCGCTCTCAGGAATCAGGCACAACCTCACCCGGGGGTTCGAGGCTGCAAGGTGACACCCCTGGTCTAGGACAGGGGTGGTCTCTGTGAGGTCCCCTCATTGCACAGCTCCCGCGAGCTCACGCGAAGCGCTTCCGCGGCTGTGGTGCCATCTTGAAAGCCAAGGGCCCTTCGAGGAGGCTCGGCGTCACTGACAGGCCCTCCCCAGCCAGGCCAGCGGACAGTACGGGGCTCAGGATGGGAGGCCACTGCTTCCGACGCACAGAGACTCTGAGAGATGCATCCCTCTCTCTAAAAAAAAATAATAATAATTACATATTAATATAACCACTATATGGAGAGATCCAGATAACAAGGCTTGGCATCACTGACAGGTCCTCCCCGGCCAGGCCAGCGGACAGCGCGGGGCTCAGGACGGGAGGCCGCTGCTTCCGACGCACAGAGACTCTGAGAGATGCAGATTCACATGGAAACCGGAACTGAAGTCTGAGTTACTTGTGGAATTAATGTCTTTTCTTAAAATCAACAGATTGAAATAGAACCATTGCCCTGCCCCCGTGTGGCTCAGTTGGTCGGGCATTGTGCTTGCACCAAAGGTGGCTGAGTTGCCGGTTCAATTCCCAGTCAGGACACATGCCCAGGTTGTGGGTTCCATCCCCAGTGGGGATCAGGCAGGAGGCAGCCGATCAGTCTCTCTCTCTCTCTCTCCTTTCTCCCTCTCTCTAAAAAAAAAATAATAATAATTACATATTAATATAACCACTATATGGAGAGATCCAGATAACACCTCAATTTGAAAAGTGCAACACAGCCAGGTGGGGGGCGAGTGGGGACGCTGCGGGGACCCTCAGCTGCTCCCCCCTCAGCGGCTGCAGCGCCTCTCTGAGCGTGTTCAGTGGCGTCAGCGTTTCAGCACAGGCAGGACATAGGTGAAACACAGATGCCATGATGTCGGGCAACACCCTGACCTTCCCCCGTGTCTGCACCTCCTTCAGGCCCAAGTTCCCGTCCATCGCCATGGGGATCGTGGGCGGCCTCTTCCTGCTGCTGATGGTGGCGCTGGTGGTGGG